TTCATATTTGAGCGGTATTTTAACTCTTTTTATATATATATATCTATATATATCTGTGTGTGTGTGTGTGTGCGCGCGCGCGCGCGTACCGTGACCTGTTGTTAGGGCAGCCTCTTTGAAGGTCGTAAGTTCCCTCAGGTCACGGATTTAAATCACCCGTGTGTAGTGTGTGGTACTCGAATAATTAACAAACCTAAAAATGACTGGGGTTCGTTTAATAGACTTCGACTTTTCGTTATATATATATAATCACAATTTTGCTAAAAACATTTTTTAATTAATTGGCTGCAATGATATAAAGATTTATAATAAATTTAAATAATTAATTTAAAAATAGAATAAAAATATATTAAATTATATTTAAATGATGTTTTAATATAAATAATAAGACTTATAACTTGTCCTAATTATTAACATCCTATAACAGCATGATAAGAATTGTCAAAATAATTTTTTTGTTCAAGAATAATTCGCGTGCGGCTCAATGCACGAACATATTTTTTATATTTGACATATAAAAGAGCAAATTATTTTTAGAAGGATTTTAACGAGCTGGGCTCGCTCTTGTTCGGCTCTTTTAGACCACAGCACTGGTCTTGGAGACACTTCCATTAGAGGTTTCCGGCTCGTTTACAAGGGGAAGTACGCAGCCTCATGGCGACGATCACAGCCACGTTTTCCACAGTTCTGGCGAGTGCGGGGGTGAGGGCTTCGTGGGACACCAATCCGAGCCCGAAACCTCTCAAAATACCCAAATACCCCAAGCCCTCTCGCTCCTTCTCCGCTCCGTCGCTCCCGGCGTCCTCCACAGTTTCAGAGAAGCCAAGGGAGCTCTACCTATCGGATTTCCACAATTCCGGCCTAAATCGCCCCCAAATAGGTATTTTCTGTTATCAATCCCTTTTCCTTTTCGCTTAAGCTTCGTATGATTTTGCTCGTTCATATAGCTTTTTTCTACTTTAGGGTTGCTTATAAACTCGATAAATGCCTTTCATTTATGAACTCAAGTGCGTCTTCATTGGAATTAGTACACCACACCCACCTGAGCTAGAAGAAAATCACAGATACCTACCTGAAGGGAGCAAGCTGAAAGTTTATAAATAATTCAATCGATATAAAAATAATTTTTCTAACATTTGTTTCCACCAACAGGATCATCATAGCATCTAAATTTAATAAAACTCAATTATTTCACCAATCTATAAATACAATTCAATTGCCATTAGACCTTATCCAAGAGACCATGAGCTAAGTTATTATTGAACAAAATGAAAGACAACTTTAATCACCTTTCAATGCTTTACATGTAGCTCGAGTTTGAAAGCCATCTGCCAGCCGATATAAAACTAATAATCTAAAGATTATAAAATAATAGGTCTGAGTTTGTATAAAATAAAATTAATAGTTGAAATTCTGGTGATAAAGCATTAAAGGAAAAATACTTGACATACATCATTATATTATGATAGTTATAAATTCTGTATATAATATAAGATTTTTAGAAATTGCAATCATTTAATGATATTATTGATGCAATAGAATTCATAAAAAAACTTATTTGCAAATGAGTGATCATTGTATACAAATATTAAAATATGTACTTACACGCATATTGTATTTATGTTCCATACAAGCCTTCATTATTTTCTTTATATCTTCATATATATATATATATATATATAATCAGTTTATTATGACACACAAAACCAAAAATTATAGGCAACAATCCCATAAAAATCTATTGTTTTCTCAAAAGATTTGTCATTTTATAGTTGTTGGTCCAATCAGGTAATATCCAAAAGAGATTAACCAACAATATATGCATCATATACATAAACATACCTTATATAAATTTTCAATTATAATAGAAGTTCTTGATAAAAATTATAGCATGATCAAATTAATTACATATCAACATAGTGTATAATTTCTATAAGAGGTGGATATTTTTAGCAACTAGAACAATATATGTAACTTACAAGAGAATTTGTGTAATAAATAACATGGTAAAGCTAACCATCATATTATGCTCCATGATCGCGTGAAATACTATAAATAAATAAGGGAAATTTACATACCTAGCACACAATTCTTGTGTTTTACATATCTCGCACCTAAACTTTCATATTTACATACATAGCAATTTGATTTTTAAACCTATACATTAAAATGTGTATTTCACTTTTAAAATTGGTCATAGCTCCATTTTTATTTGAAACTAAATATTTGAGTCTTTTTGTGTAAATGTGAAAATCTGTGTGAGATATGTAAATACATTAGAATTGTGTGCTATGTATGTATATGCCCAATAAATAAATATATCTTACAAAATTTATAGCAATTTAATCATGTCAAGAAATAGTAAGGAATATGCTATTAATAAAGGGGACAAATTAATCTCTTATGCAGAAAAGAGTTATGTACCTACTAAAGATCACATACAATATAACATTTCATTCATTACACTGATCTTTTTTGCTCCAGCAAAAGATACTTCATAAACTCCATATTCAAGAAGAATTTAAATTAATCATACATTTAAGTTAGTGCACATCAATGCACTAAGTAATTAAAAATATCAATTAAAAATAATTTTGCAATCAATGATTTTACAATTTGCCCTAATTTATATTCTTCATCCAATTCAACATATCACTAATTAATTACCACATTTATTATAGATATTGCTAAGTTTACAAGGTCCTCGATATATTCTTAAGATTAAACCAACTATTAATTAAATGTGGCCTATGCATCCTTAAGTAGAATTAGATGATTCTTATGCGATACATAAACTCTCGTTAATCATAAGTTATAAAGCTTAATAACAAATTATAAGCACAATCCTTACCATGATCTTAAGTTTTACCTTGTACATAGCACTTGATCTATTCCTCGACACTTTCTAAATTATAATTTGAAAGACAAGAGTATTTATTTAATATTAATCTATATTATTAAAGGCATACATCACAGGGAAAATAATGTAGGCTTAAATATCCCATACTCTTTATGTTATATTCTTACCTTCAAATTTTCTTCGTATTAATAGCTTCTTTATGGCCCTTTGACTCTTAATTGTTTAAATTTCCAAAGCATTTTTCATTTTTAAAGATAAATCTAGAAATAAATAAAACAAAGCATTAACGTTAGTACTCACCTTCTCAACACAAAAAGGGGATAATAATGGTGTAAGAAGAAGAAAGAAAAAGGAGAATAGCTTCTTTCTTTCCTATCTCGGCATACTCCCAGTTCACTTGTCATAATCTTTGAACCATTATTTATCATTCTTGGTCACACATTGCATGTTCTAAGAACTGATGGCATTTATCACTTCGTTTTGGTTTGATTATCTCCCACATACCCTACTATTGATGTTCTTTCGCTATATTGCTCGCTTGCCTCCTTATATCTTGTCCAATCAATAGGACACAATGGAGAAAAAAGATTCATGCAGCCGACCCCAATTAGTAGAATAAAGGCTTATTATTGTTGTTGTTGTTGTGCCTAATAGGTAAAACTAATGAATTAAACAAGAAAAAACACCAGGGTCAAAAACGATTATCAAAGTCAAACCTTTTCTATGGCACTTTTAAATTTAGAATTGGACCTTGTAAACTCCGCGTAAAGATTTGAGATCTGTTTATGCTTAAAAAAACCATTTCATAGGTGTTGAAAGCAAAGTACCATTAGTTTGGCATTAACCTGATTATTACTTTGACATTTATTTTTTTTTAGCTTTAAATTTTTCTTTTTTGGTTAGCAGTGGCTGACACCAACTAGAGTGTAAAAAACAGACCTGACACGCCAACTCGACTTGAAATTGACTCTAAAAATTTGGGTCGTGGTTGACCCAAATAAGTTTTGGGTCAGATTCGGGTTAAGAATCCTAACCTAGCCATTTAATTTATTTGGGTCCGGTTTGGGTTGACCCGCCAAGCAAAAATTGGCCTACAATAACCCGCTAACCCCCAAAATTTACTCGAAATTGACCTTTCTGTCAAAATTTACCCTAAATTGACACGAATAATTGTTATGCCTTATGTCAAATCGGTTATATGGGTAGGTGGGATGAAGGCGAGTCGATTTCAAGTTAAGACTTTCTGACTTGTTTAATATTCGGGTTAGGTTCGGGTCAAGCAGTTTTGGATCAGGTTAATTTCAGGTCAGACTCGAACCTGACCTGCAACCCAATTTGACACCCTTAACACTAATAAAAAAATATATTATAAAATACTGGTAATGGTTAATTATTATAATTTAGCATCAATGCATCACATAATTAATAATAACCTAATTAAAATGTTTAAATTGAATCAAGAAATAGTTATTAAATTAACAATGATAGAAGTGGAGCCTGTGAAAGATGTTAGTTGGACTATTTGTCAAAAGCAATGAAGAGTTGCGTTTTGTGTCTATGGAGAATTAAGACTTCTTATGTAGGTAGGAGTGTAGTCAAAAACATCGCATGGAGTTATATTTACTGCTTTTGACCATTGCCGTCACCTTCCCCTAGAGCTGAAGCCATCATTGAAGCCTTGAGTTGAAGTTTTCTACATGTCGGCTAGCATCTCAAAGCTCTCAGCTTGTGTTATGCTTCAGGTCAATGTAACAGTGTCTTGTGTCTGTGTAGCAACCCTATCTACGAATAAAAAGAAAATAAAGAGAATAAAATAAATGATATCAATATTACTTATAAGTAATAAGTCGCAGAAATCAAAATACTGCATGCTATAAGGATAATGTGTTTTTTCTCATCCATAGTGCAAATAGTACATGCTATTTTGATTCCCTATGTCTTGCTACACAGTAGCATAAGAGTGTGGACCACCATTCACGTGCTATTGTGTGGAATGGATATGCATACTTCAAATCATATAACCCTCGCCACTATCACTTAAATTTGATAATATATGTTAAGATGCATACCTTTTCTCCTTAAAATTAGCATCATGTTTATCTCCAAATCTTGGCCCTCAGTGCAAAATGTTTTGCTAATATTATTATTTTGTTCATAAAGCACAATAATATAATTATTGTATATTTTTGCAAGGAAAGCAATTTAGCTTTTACATACGTATAAAGTGATAGGAACAAAATAAAAGATAAATCTTGTAGAATAACACATATAATATATTTTAAAGATTAAAAAATCTGTCATTTCATATCAACATGGCAATAAAATCACTCATTCACTGTGTGGTATAATAATAAACGGTATATGAACTTGATATCTAGTTTACTTACCATAATAATATCATAACATAAATGTGAAAATGATTAAAATGCTCATTTTATTATTTGTGGGAGGGGGTTTTAATCTCAAACTATATAAAGTGGTTGATTTAGTCTTCAAACTATTTAAACAATGGTCATAGTAGTTATGTGTTCGTAGTTAATGAAAATTAAAGCTAATGGTGTTAAAAATAATATTATTTTTGGAAACTGTATTTTTTTCTTCAATTCTTCTGATAAATTTAGCTTCCTACTGCCTTATTTGCACGTGTATGGCACCTAAATTTGTATACGGCTGGAGTGGCTTAAGATAGTGCATGTTAAAGAAAAAGTTGATTTTTATAATAATTGATTTTGTTTGATAATTTTTATCTTGTTTCTATTATAGCGATATACATTGGAATTATCTTTTTTTGTTAAGATTTGAATGAAGATAACAAATTTGTCTTCTAAAATTATTTATTAAAAAGTTCAACTCCGTAACTCACAGTTTTAATAATTTTTGCTCTAGGTGAACTTAACTTCTGGATATAAGGAAATAAGGTAAATAAAAAATAAATTTATTATAAAATTGAAAATAAAATATTTGTTTTAAATAATATTATTTTTAACACTGTTAATTCTAATTTAATTAGTTTAGGCAGTATGATTGTTTTAGTCCTATAAAAAAAATAAGGGATAAAATAGAACTTTTCATATAGTCTGAGCAAATTATCCTTTAAAAAGTCAATGGATCATTTTTGTCATTTACTCTAACATAAATCTTGTGATTTAATATTATATAATATTGGGTATATTTAATGTTCAATCTCAAAGTATGGACAATTTGCAACCTCTAGCAGTTGATTTGTTGGTGCTTGTTTATGTTATGTGACTACAAAAATGCTCTTCCGTGATTTGATTATTATGATATTTATTTGGTTTCAAGTAGGTAGGTTCTAATTCCGTATTCATTGAATTTTTTTCTTAGCTTAGAAGTATAAAATTATTTGTTAATACATACTTATTTGGTTTTTTAGCTTATTTATTAGCTTGTTTAATTGCTCATTTAATTTATTTAAATAAGCCAAGGTCAGCAATAGAAGAAATCAACTAAAAACATGAAAATTTGGCCAAACATAAAAAGTAGGTCTAAAAATGCATAATAACAGGGCAGGTTCAGTTCTGTTGTTGCTTGGTTTAACTCTTTGTAACTAGCCTTTGGCCAATTTTGTTTTGCAGGCTGATTCAGCCATATTATGGTCCCATACTGCATCGAGAATTACTCGTCTTTGTCAGTTCTTTAGGTGATCAAGCTCTCATTTGCATTCTATTGCTATTATCTTCAGAATTATTCATCTTCTAGATTTTTAGGCGATCAAGGTTTTGTCTGCATGCTATTCTATTTTCTGTGATTTTTTCGTCTTCATTCTAATGCTAACCTACACATGATCGTCTTTTGTGATGTAATCAGATTGTGAACGTGCAGTTTAATTGCCTCCTTTTTTGTAGCCGTTAGTTATTTCCATTGTCACTTATGCTCTGAGAAACATTATATATGTTTCCCAGAGGATGCATTTCGCATCTTGTATAACCTGTATTTATTTAGTTATAAATAAGCATATATTATCAGGATCTTGATTAATATTCTTCAAATAGGTGGTTTGGATCAACAATATATGGGCTGCGAGAGATGGTTGCCTCCTGCCCCCAAAGTGAAGAAACCACGCTCCATTTACAATGCGGCAAGTTTAGCATATATTGGTGATTGCATATATGAGGTAGAATTTCCTAAATTTTTTAAGTAGAATAAAAAGACACTGATCTCTTTTCCAAACAGTGTTACTTCGGTACATTTAACATACTTAGCGTAGATCTATTATGAAGAAGAATGATATCACAGATGATTAAATAGCTGCTATCAATCTTTGATGGTTAAAATAGAGGTTTTTTAGGAATACTTTGTAGTAGGAGAAACACATTGAGATTTAAGCTTATGTTTATATAATTGCAATCAAATCGACCTTGTTATATGAATGGTTTTAGAAAGGAGAGTACCAAGAAGGATGCATGAGAAAGCTTGTGAGGATAGAATTAAAAATGAATATTAGAGAGATGGCGTGATACCTATTGAAAATATGGTATTGAAAAAAAGACCATGTGATTTGAATATATATAATATAGTGGAGGTTATGCAAAAGGATTAGAGAGGAGAAATAGAAGAAATGACATGTCTAAAACTTGCAGAAAAGGGCTTGCCAAAAGAGATTAAGGAACTTACCTTCTTCTCAGCATGCATCAGAGGAGAATTTTATAGGGCCCATATCAAATAGGTGGGATCACTTTAATTGTGATCATGATTACACAATGAGTTGTGTAGGAGTATTCTGTAACTTGTAATGCGAATCTGTGCTTATCTTGAGTTTTTTTTGCCATTTTATCTACGCTGCTTCATTTGTTAATTTAATTTTTTGAAATTTAAATTATACTGCCTTACATAGATGATTGGAATGTTTCTAAAATGACATTAGTGTTATAGTGCATGAGTCCTCTTTTATATAAATTTTACTTTTGAATTATCTATTTATTTGGCATAATTATTTTTCATATTGTGAAAAGAAATCCATATATATATATATATATATATATATATAACACTCCAAACAAAAATAGATAAGTAAAATAAACATTGTAATACATACTTTTCTAATATTTGATACCTTTGTTTAATCGGTGTTGAACTTTGCAGCTCTATGCTAGGAGGCACTTCTTATTCCCCCCTCTAAGCATCAATGATTTCAATGAGCGAGTAATGAAAGTAGTGCGTTGTGAATCACAGGTATCTACTTGCATAAAACCAGAAATGTTAGTTATATACAAGCATTTGATCGCCATGATTCTTTATGCAACTCCGAAACTTATTTTGGACATTACAAGATGTTTTCTCACTTATAGTGTTATTTTTTAGAATTTTATCTATTGTTGTTTCTTTCATAATGATGAGCATTATAATCAACATTTCAAGTGGTGTAAGTGATGGGATTTGTCAAGTTTGTAAATTTTATTCTAAGCAACATTCAATATAAATAGTCTCTTGACTGACTGTAGAAAACGTAAAATTTGAAAAAAAAAAAAAGAAGACTGAAACAATTCTGAGTTGACCTCATTCAGGGGGTGACCTGAAACTTTTTTATGCGAGATATGTGACTCCTACTATCATTCTGAACTTGACTACTCAATTTACGAGGCATTATGCATGCTAGCCCGTCTATCTTTTTGTTTGTCTTTGTTCTAGTGAATGCTTATTTATGAAAAAATCTAGTTGTTAAGTCTCTTACTCTAAAGTGTCCCTCCATTTGCATTTTCTCTTTTATTTCAGTGTAACTTTTTTTTCTGATGCTTGCTTTGTTTATATTGCGTACACTAATAAATTTTTGTGATGTTAAAAGACAATTGTGCATCCTGCATTTGTGCAGTGTTCACTTTTATTATAAATCACTGACGCCGATATCAAGTGCATTAGGAGAGACTTGGATAATCCATGATATATATAAACATTTAAGAATGGAAGTATTATGCAATCACCAACCGTAAATCATTCTTCTTCTTCCTCCTTTTTTTAACTACTACCCATATTTGCTTACAAACGCTTAGCTCCCCGCTTGTCTTTTCGTGAAGACGATTTTCTTCCTTCAATTTTCAATCCCTCAACAAAAAATCAACTTTTAAAAGGCTCCCCTTTTCAGCGAGGTTCAAAAAATTATTAGGCTCATTCTTCGTAATTTCCCCTTTATCAATGAGATCGACTTTCCTCAATGTTGTGGGGATGTTCAATTTCAGATTTAGCAGCCAAGTTTGCCTTCTTTCCACCACATCAATGATGAAGTCTGTGGAGGGAAACTGTTGGTTACTGGCATTCCCAGGGACCCCTCCATGGATGTGCTAAAAGTGGACAACATAAGAGGGAATAAGATTGTTGCATTCTTTTTCAGAAACCCATATGCAGGGCTCACGGTCCTTTACTCCCATGGCAATGCTGCTGATCTTGGACAGCTCTATGAACTCTTTGCTCAGATAAAGGTCAATCTCAAGGTTAATTTGACGGGATATGACTACTCAAGGTATGGGGCTTCGTCTGGTAAGCCAAGTGAGTTCAACACTTATGCAGACATAGAAGCGATCTATGAGTGTCTTCAAACTGAATATGGAGTGAGTCAGGAAGATCTAATATTGTATGGTCAATCCATTGGTAGTGGATCCACATTACACTTGGCAGCGCTTTTACCAAGACTGAGAGGTGTTGTGCTTCATAGTGCAATATTATCCGGCCTCGGGGTTCTATGTCATGTAAATTTCTCATTCTGCTAGGATACTTATAAAAATGTTAACAAGATTAAGAAGGTGAAATGACCTGTACTTGTAATCCATGGAACTGATGATGAAGTTGTGAACTGGCATCATGGAAATAGGCTGTGGCAGTTGGCCCGAGAGCCTTACGACCCCTTGTGGATCACTGCAATCTCGAGCCCTACCCCGACTACGTTGTCCACCTCTCCCCACTTCATCAACGAGATGGAAAATATTACCACAGTACAAAGGCTTAAGAAGCTGCACCGTTCTCTTCGAAGGTCTGGAACTGACATCAAAAGTATTACTACTTTTACAGGAAATTGTTGCTGTAGTATTAGAATCCAGAAGCTAAACTGCTCAAACTGCTGCTACAGTTGGAATGGATTCATTTCTTTAGGTTGCTGGAAAGGATCATCAAATTTTTGCAACTGTTGTGGGCTAAATGGCTAGTTGTGATGATGACAGGGTTTTCTATATGTGCAGGAACTAATGGCCCCCTTCAACCTAATCTTTATAATGCTGTAAGGAGGAGGAAACAATGATCTCAGTCACACCACAACTGGAGATGGGTTCGATATAATGTGCGCTATTTGTGGCCTTTTATTTTCTTTTATTTTCTTTATTTCAGATGATTCTTCTTTGATTGCTTTCTAAATTTTAGCATATTGTGCCATCATGCAGTGGTGTCCGGTTGAATGCTTATGCCCGTAATATGTTAGTAATGCAACTTTATTAAAGAAGCAAAAAACATTTTGCTGCCTAACTCGGTTTGAAAAAACTCTTCGAGTTCATGTGAGGGACGATATGTATCAAGTTCATGTGAGGGACGATATGTATCGAGTTCATGTGAGGGACGATATGTATAGCATGGGCTTGCAACGCATGTCATTTGTCTTTCATTCAACGACTTTGGTAAAAAACATTAGCAATAGAGAGGAAATACAGATGAATGAGGGCATGTTTGGGCATAGTTTTTGAGTCTATCTCTCATAAAAAAAAAATAGAATGGAATTTCATATTGGGCATGGTTTTTTAGTCTGTTTTTCATAAAAAAAAATGGAATTTCATATATCAGTACATGACCTTCTGCAAATTGAAAATTGTTTTTTCATTAGTGTTATTGACACAAATCTATGCTATATGAGTTCTCTCAACTGAATCCTTGCCTGTTGTATTTTCTGTGTTGTAGGATTTGCTGTTGAAGAAACTTCTTACAGAGGAGTACTTAACAGAAGAAGAAAGGTGAAACCAACAAACGCGCTTTCCTGGGTTTCACAGTAAATGTTGGTTGATTTTGCAGTATTTAACATTATTTTTTGGTTTATAAAATGTGGATGTGGTGGAAAATAAAAGTAAGAAAATATTAAATATGGTTTAACTGGGATATAACTGGATTGTAAATATTTTACTGTCAAATTCATGTTAAAGATGTGTTGTATCTTGTACGTCTTTAAAAAAATTAGTATTTAAACCCAAACTCTGTATCCTACTATCCATGTTGAAGTGTTGGACATGTCGTCGTGCTTTATAGACTATGATTGTGGGTCCTTCGAAATGAAAACTATTTGATTATAGATCCTTACTAGAATTTATTTTTTGTAATTATTATGAAATTATTGTTTGGATAAGAAACTCTTTTGTCTTTGAGCGTCTTCTTAGTTGATTGAAACAGTGATGCATGTGTGTTTCCTTTCCGTATATATGATTAGAACGAACTTATTTAGCATAATATAAAACAATATTCACGACATCCTCAAGGCATTGACCACCCTTGTTTTGGTTCACTTTTTCTCTTCCATGTTGAGTTATAGATAAATTCCCTTTGATCTCCTTTAATATTTTATTTGTTTGATGTATGACAACTAAAACTTTTTACAGAGATGTACTGCGCTGGGGTAAAAACAAAAGCAGTAACAAAACCAAAACTACTAGAAGGGTTGGTGTGGCCATTTATAACAGCGCATCATCCCTAGAAACACTTGTAAGTTGCAATTTCTGTGTTTTTTAATTGTAATAACTGCACAACTGAGAGTCTAAACTAACATTTAGATTTTAATGTTATGTTTTCTATAATCTCGTTTAGATTGGTTATCTCTACCTCACTGATGTTAAACGCTTGGAAGACCTGATGTTTAAGCTTGGATTTTCTACTGATGCTTCCTCAAAAGATATTACTGACGAGTTTCGTAAAAATTTCAGGTGAAAGGCTCGATATCCAGCTTTAATTAAATTCCATTTATTCAGATCTCTGCTGAATCATTGCCTCAAATTTCGGGGCGTGAAATTGATTATAGGTTTCTACTTTACAGGGTGCAATAATCTTCAGTAAACTATAATGATGAAATCTAAGGAGTGATTTCTTGTTACGAAGGCAAATTGTCATTGTTAAGGAGAGTAATATAAATGGCATAGTAGATGAACAACTTTTTCTCTTTTGTTTTATTGCTAGGAGTTATTTGTTCAAGATTCATGATAGACAAAGAAGGGGGAAATATAAGATGTATGTTCTTCAATTAGTGTTAATTTAAAACTTGATTTAGAATTTATTTATCCTTGCATTCATAGAGTTGATTTATATTTTTTTGAGTACTCTTGCCCATTTTGAGTATCTACTTAACCGGGCAACAATGTAGCAACTTACCTCACAAATCTGTAGAGGTTTATAATGAGGTAAAGCTATTGGGATCTAATCCACAGAGTTTATAACACTATTTGAGTTGGAAAAAAGTAGATGAAGTTATCTAAAGTTTTAACAACTAATAGGTGTTTCATTGCGCAATCACTGATATATAAATTTTAGATTTAGACTTCTCATTTTATTTCACTAAAATATTGTTATTTATCAAATTAGCATAAAAGTGGTTTTTTCCTATAATTTTAAAATAGCATTTTTAGATTATATACAACTCAATTCAAATTTAAAGTATTTAATATTTATTTATTTATTTTAATTTAAATTAATTAACATTAAACCATTACTCCATATCTCCATCAAACAAACAGAAATAACAAATCATTAAGATATGCTCAGAGAAGCATATATTTAAGATTTAGACTTTATCATGCATGGCCCTTAAATATTGCTATTTGTAAATATATCGCATGAGTGTTTTTTCTTATCTTAATTTAGAAATAATTCTTTCACATGCATCATTGCAAATTTAAATTACTTGACCGTTAAACCCTTGCTCCATTTATCCATCAAAGAAGCAGAAATAACAAATGATGAAAAATGCCAAACCGAAATGACAATATCCATAGTACACAATTACATTAAACCCTACAACCAACCAACCTGCAGTGATCTTCTAACTGGAAAGGTGATATGCCAACCAGATCAGTAACTAACCCTAACGAATAAGAAGAAAAAAAGACTTATTTTGTATCTTCCTAAAGAAGAGAAGAGAAATCCTAAAAGCTGGGGAAACGTTATTCAAAAAGGGTAACTTTAGCTAGCTTGGCTCCGGTCATAGCGATCAGATAATCCTCCATCTTCGTTTCATCTCCTTCGGCATTCGCCCTTTTAGTCGCACAGAAAGCGTGCTCCAGAGCGGCGGCAACGGAGGCGGCTCGTTCACGATCAAGTGCGGCGTCGTAGGGCTCGTGCGGCCTCGTAGGGCTCCCTGCTAAACCGTGCGGCGATTTTGTTTCCACTGAAACGTTTCAGAGGAGCGAAAGGGGAAACATCTGGTTTACTTTTCACCAATAGAAGCGGAGGAGAGGCGATGGAGACGGAGGGATGAGGGATGGAGCAACGTTGGTTTTCGCTTCGAATCCACGGAGGTGGAAGACGACGACAGAGAATGGGTGCGGGAGATGAAGGAGAAGAAATTCGGGTGGGGGGAGGTACCGCAGCAATGGAGCTTGGCCGGCGGTTTTCCATGAGGTGGCGACGGCTGGAATGCCCTGCCAGAAGTCTTGTGTTTTCGTAAGAGAAGAGGGAGGGTTGGCGAAAGATAAAGCAGGGAAGGATTTCCAAAAATAAAAATGTAGATAAAAAGTGAAATTTGTTTGCTTTAAATATGGTAATAGATATTCTTAAAACACCTATTTTTTAAATTAAATATGGTTTTGATTGGGGAAGTCTCCTTGAGCTCCTGTGAAGCTTTTGGAGCAATCAATTTAGAGTTTTGGTGGACTTGGTGGTATGGTCATGAAATGTCCTAATTTTCAAGTTCAAAATTAGGGCAATATAGTGGGAATAGGGGCTGAAAAATGGTGGGGATGATCTTCTCTAGGTTGTTAGAGGGTCTGTGAGCAATTTGGCATGGCTTTGCCAAGGTTTTAGCACTCTCACTCGTTGGTGGCTAACAGGGCAAGCCTGGTGGCCAGGGTGAAGCTTAGTGTCGGCTATTTTTGTTTTTGAAAATAAGATTTTAAAATTTAAATTTATTATTATATATAATATAATTTTAATTTTGTGAAAATGATATTTTTTTTTGAAAAATAATGAGAGTAGATATACCTCATATATCTAATAGTTTAAATAGCTGAACACGATACCATAAATGATATATCATCTCAATGGATGAACGTATTACTCATTTGTAGACTTAACTATCTAAACTTAAAAGCTTATTACTCTATTTTAGTCTACGAAATTTATAGCCGACAAATTCTCCTATCTAATACACAGATTAGATATGGTTTAGATTAACCTGGGTTTTTAATTCCCTATAGAGGCAAACCCCTATAGTTAATTACATCTTAGACAACTGAAGTCACCTAAGAAGACTATCGATTAAGATTAGGTTTCGTCTTCAAGAATTCAATGTTTAGGTTTCCACGATTGCTTATAGGAAAATTAAAATGAGATTGGTTCAAGTAAGAACGTTTATTTTCAGAATCCAAAGGAGCAAAAGTAGGAGATGTTGAAGATACTGAATGAGATTCAGTGATATATCAAACTAACCTATGTTTTGGTTTTACATCTTTGAATGGGGAAATTACGTAATGTTTCAGTCCTACAAGTTATTTAGATATTTGAGACTTATATTCGCACATCATATGCAAATGACCCGAGAAAATAGGAGGACTTATGTCGTATCAGACGACAACCTCAGAATCCTAAAAAGTTTAAGACTTATATCGTACGATATAAAATCGTAGAAAGTCGTAAAAGATAGTGAATGGGGATTTACGTCATGCCAGACGAACGAACTCGACGTCATATATGTATGTTATTTAAGTCTACGAAAGTTTAGCTGAAGCTTCTCTCTCCACCTTCTGTTGTAGTCCCGAATGTTGTCCAAAGATGAATCGTCAACCGACCACACCGACCACGTTGTTATCTTGTTACGTGAAAAGAGTAAAGGAAAGAAAACCATGCCTCGTGCGGCCTAGTCTAGGGTATTGTATAAACATGACAAAAAAGTAGTAACTAAAAGTATGAGTACAGATGAATATATATAGTACAATGCAGTAAAAAAAGAAGTAGAAGCTATGTAATAAAGTACGGTAAAAAAATAACAAAGAATATGTAGGAAGATACAATACAATATAAAAAGAAAAGAAATGTATAGTAAAGAAAGAATTATGTGGTGAGAAAAAATAAAGAAACTGAAACAACTAAAAGTGTACCTAGTTAATTTTGCTGATGCTACAAAACAGATTACAATTACATAACATAAAGGGATTAGATAAACATTTGCAGATTATAAAAGAAATGGGCTAAATGATAAGCATATGAAAATTTAAAGTGGAATATATGATTTTAATTTGGAGTTAGTCTCAGACTAGACTTCTTTTTTTTATTTTCTCGACCCCCTTCAGGCCATTGATATATCGAAGTCAACCTATCAATATCAACTAGAAGCCACCAACAAATCACCCCTAGATTCGGGTAACCCTAAACCCTATCATTTAATGGATTGGTGAACCCAAATAGCATCTGAACTTATCTGGTTAAATGTATAATGTACCCATGTGATATAGTATCTGAATTTATCAAGGTGTGGTGCACCTATATGTGATGTTAAAATAAGTGATACATAATATCCAACCTTATCGATGTCTAATAAGTGAATTTATTATGTAGTATCTGAACTTATCAGTTAACTGTGTACAGTGCGTCAATGTCTAATGGGCGGTATTTGTTGTGTGGTATTTAAACTTATCAATTAAACTTGTGTAGTGTATTTATGTGTGATGTATAAGATGTATTATGTGGTACGTGGGGTGTCTTAAATTTATCAATCTAGAATGTGATGGATCTATATGAGGTGTATGAAATGTAATATGTGATATGTGGAGTGTATATGTAGGTGATATCAAATATATAAATGTATTAATTAATGTGTGGTGTCTATGATGTAGTGTCGTATCTTTTCCTTTTACGAGTGTAGTATCTGTGCAAGATCTATAGTATCTATTCTTTTCACAAGTGTAGTAAATGTGCGGTATCCGTAGTATCCACTCTTTCATAATTACCAGTTCTCAAACCTTTTGAGGAAGGGTTAGGGTTATCGTTGACTTAAGGAAGTGAAAGGGCATCTTACTAATTGAATATCAATTTTACATTTTCAGCTATAAGAAAAACTAATTAGTGGGTTCTTTGCATCATTATCTGTTACCCCACATCTCGAACTTATAGGCCACCTTGATGTTTCATATGCTTATCCAACCATTTTTTGATATTTTACGTTTCAAGGTACAAAAGTATAATGTTTAAGCAACTTTCTAATACAGATTATCGCAAAATTTGACATAGCACACAAGCTTTAAATCTTAAGCATGGAATAATAAAAAAAAAAATCATTTGCCACTAACAAAGATATTAGATCATGTGTCATGAAAACAATAACCAATCTCCCATTATAACAATTAAAATGTATTGAATCATATTCTTTCTCCTCCATCATAACTTCCCAATTCCAGGTATACTAGAAAATGCATTCAGGGTAATTCCAGGTGACGCAGATTAGAAAAGTTCACATTGCCAGACAAGAAATCATCAGAGCAAGATCCTTCCAGCCACATTTTTATAGATTATGAACCGCGAATGATAAGGGACTACTTAATGATCTTGGCATTGGAGTGAGATTTACACAAAGATTCAAATATCGAAGATGTTTCAAATTTTGATAGTCTCAGACATCTTTTTCCAATATAGAGAGTGCATGAACAACAAATGAATGCTTCTTGATGCCTTCAAAATTTCAGTAAGTTATTTCGCTAAAAGAGTTACAAAGTAAGCAATCTTAACTAATGAAAATAACCAATGAATAACAGGCCAATCTTGACAACGATGGAACCAGTGAAGTGGTATGAATGTGAAAATTAATTTTAGATGTTATATATGTAAATGAATAAAATTCTTAACCTTCAATTAAGTGATACATAAGCATGAGATGATTAGAGAAAGTTAACAACTTCTCCTTTATGATTTGAATATTACACATACAAGTACTTATGAATGATTACATCCAGATTCTAAAAAAAATCTGTACATCTCATACATTAAATTTCAATTTATACATATGTCACATTACCTATAATTGAGACTGCATATAAA